ATTAGAGTGCTAAAATTTCTTATAAAGCATCGATAGAATGATGCTAATCCATGGAAACTTCTAATTTCATGTAGAGAAGTAGGAGTTGGCCATTCTTTAATTACCTTGAAATTATTCGGATCAACTTCAAACTTCAATTCCTTTTGATGATACTATGAAACCTAGAAAAAAAACACTTGAACTCATGAAAGAACACTTCTTTAAATTGATGTAAAGCTTTTTTTGTCGAGGGACTTTCATGACTTGCTGTAGGTGGTAAATATGTTCCTCTTTACTCTTGCTGAAAATTAGGATGTCATCAAAATAGACAACCAAAAATCGACCATTATAGGGCTGAAGTACCTAGTTCATAAATCTCATAAAAGTGCTTAGTGCATTGCTGAGTCCAAATGGCATGACCAACCATTCATAAAGCTCATTTTTAGTTTTAAAAGCAGTCTTCCATTCATCTCCAGGTTTGATTCGTAATTGGTGATAGCCACTTTTCAAATCAATTTTTGAAAATATAGTAGAGCTAGTCATAACATCTAACGTATCTTTTAGATGAGGAATAGGAAATTTGTACGTAATAGTAATTTTGTTTATGGCATGACTATCAACACATACGCCATGTACCATCTTTCTTTGGGGGTAAGAAGTGCTAGAACAACACAAGGACTTAGACTTTCACAAATAAAACCTTTGGACAATAACTCATCCACTTGCCTTTTGAGTTCAACATGCTCATTGGGAGTCATTCTATATGCTTGCAAGTTTGGCAATTAAGATCCTGGTATAAGATCAATTGCATGTTGAATATCTCATAAGGGAGGTAACTCATTAGGTAACTCTTTTGGTGTGATATCAAAAAATTCTACCAACAACTTAGCTACCTCATTGGGTAATTGAGTAGTAAATTTTGAGTTCACTTCTTCCACTCTTCTGGCAATAATGGAAAATACCAACCCAGATTTGCAACTTTCTACTTGAAATTGTCTCTTAGTTAGTATGTGAAGAGATTTGCTTTTGTTTCCAAAAACTTGCTTAGGTTCTGGCAATCTCTTTTCTTCATTCTTCTTAATATCACTAGAAATTTGTTTAGTCTGTGATGGCCTCTTTTCTTCATATTTTTTTTCATATCAAAAGAGCTTATAGGTCGCAATACAATTTTCTTGCTTCCAACAGAAAATGTATAGGTGTTCTCCCTCCCATTATGATTCACATTCTTATCATAGAGCCAATGTCGTCCAAGAAGAATGTGTGTGACTTTCATAGGGATAACATCACACAATATAGCATCATTATGAGCACCATTGAAAGAAACAAGGCATTGTTGGTTACTAGAATTATTGTGTTATTAATCCAAGCTACCTTATATCGTTAAGGGTAAGGTTTTGTATGGAGTTTAAGACATCTCATTGTTGATGTTGATACAACATTCATGCAACTTGCACTATTGATAATGAGCTTTTTTGCTTGATCACCATAGCAAGCCAAAGTTTGGAATATTGAGGTTCATCACCAATCTTCTTCCTCAACCTTAGGTGCTACAAAAATACACCTAACAACTGACAAAAAGGAAGTGTTTTTCTCCTCATCATCTACAAGATCATCAGCCATGTAAACTCCATAATCAAAGGGATTTTCTTTAGTTTCCTCTTCATGATGTTCTTCCTCATCTTGTACTTCTTCCATACAAAGGTTATTGTTTCTTGGACATTGATAGCTTATATGACCATCTTCACCACACTTAACATAGGTTGCACCTTTATTGCCCTTGTTATGGGTAGCATTGACTTTCCCTTTTCCAGCATTAGGGTTTTGTTTGTTAAAGGTAGTTGTAGCTTGTGATTGCATAGCACGTCTTGCATCATAATTCTTTCTTGCTGCTACTTTCTTGGTTTGGAACCCAATTTTCTTACTATTTTGATTGTTTATATATTCTTCTACATTGAATGCTACTTGGAATACATCTTCAACACTATAAATAGCCTATCTTAGGAGTTCATTTTTAATTTCAGCTTTTAGACTAGCTCTAAATCAAGATGCAGCTTCGATAGCATCCTTAATGACTTGACTGCGAATTTTTAGTTCATCAAAACTTTGCATATATCTGCTACAATTAGGTTTCATTGCCTCAAGGTATAAACCTTATCACGCATCTTTTCTAGATAGTTTTGTGGCATATATTTTTCTCTTAATGTTGCTTTCATCTTAGGCCAATTAGTTATTGGTGGTTGTCCTAGTCAAGTTAAATCACTCTCAACACCTTGCCACCATATTTTGGCTAACCCAACAAATTTCATTTTAGCAAATCCAACTCTTCAAGGATCTACCATGTCATACCAGTTGAAACATTCCTCCATTGAATTAATCCAATCAGAAAACACAATAAGATCAACCTTCCCTTCAAAATCTGGAACTTCAATCTTTATTTTCCTGGTAATGTCACCTGCTGTATCTTGTGCCCCTTTTTGGCCTCTCCCATTCCTAGGTGCTATTGTTATTTGGAGGATTTCTCCTTGGACATTGTCTAATTTCTTTGTTCCCATCTCCTCTATTTTGGAATCACGTTCAATTTCAAGTGTATCCATTCGTTGTTGTAATTTATTAATCAGTTGTAATTTATTAATCAAGACACAGATTTCCTCCACATCGGAATTTAGCCTTGTAACTTGTGAATTTAGTTCAACATTTGACACCATATTTTTGGAAGAAAATTCAATAACAAAGTTATAGGATCTTTGTTCTAATACATATTGATGCGGGACAAGTCAGGGGTATGGTGGGCTTAAGGGTTTAGAGGCTTATTTGAAGATAGTTTAGGCTATGAATAGGGTGCATGAATAGTAAAAAGAAGGTTAGGAGTTTAGTTTAGAGGATAGGGAAGAATAAAGAACCCTAGGAATCACACCTGGGCACCTTTAGGAATCACTCCTAAGGTAGATTGCTTCATGCAATCAAGATTGATTCACACAATCAAAAGCAAACTTATTGAAAAAAATTTGAATATTATTAACTGAATGTCTAAAGAAACTTACAAACATACATATATATATATATAAAAGAAATATTAAAACTCCCAATAGAACTCCTAATGTAGAAGTTCTAATCCAACTAGGTCTTGGCAAAAATTAAATAGTTTTAAGAATAATATTAATAATAATAAACTACTAATAAAAGATTTAATTAAGCTCCCAACTAAGCTTCTCATCATTGGTCATGTGCCAAACGAAAGCATGGGTTGTGGAACCAACTTTGGCTCGCCTTTCGTAAACCTTTGGGGGTTGTTGCCGGCGTGCCCATCACTAGAGCCTGAGTTTGAACCTCTCATTCACAAAAAGAAAAAAAAAAAAAAGAAAAAAAAAGAGAAAGGTTATTAGTGATTAGGCAACTATTTGTGAGGCTTTGTTGTGAAAATAAATTTATAGGTGAATCATTTAAAAAAACAGAGACACACGAACAACGGTAGGAAAAAAAAACCTTCGTCTTATATCTTTACTCAGCAGTAAGCTAATATAACTAAAATATCTGATAATATTAATATCTGAAGAGTTCTATAAAAACTGAAAACAGCAGAACAAAACTATAAGAACTCGAGTACTTTCTTGGGTGTTGGAGAGAATTGGGAACTGTTCGTAAAATCCTCAACCAGGGGCGGAGCCAAAAATTTTTTTTAGGGAAGGTGAGATAATTTTTTATATATTAATTTATAAAATTTTTAAATTTTAAGGAGATAAAATAATTTTTCATATACTAATTTATAAGAATTTTTAAATTTTAGGAGGGCTAGCGCACCCCTGGCACTCCCCTCCCTCCGCCCCTGACCTCAACAGACCCATCTGTGCAGATTACTCTATATGGAACATACGGAAAAAGTTGTCCAAAAATCCAGATGACTCTATAATGATCTACCACAAT